TCGTTAAAATGCTTCCCGGACTGTTCTTTAATGACCGGTCCTCCTTACTTTAACCAACTTCGCTCGTCCGCGTTTGGTTACCACGCTGCCAAATCGGTTTTGATGCATTGTTTCATCTCTGTACCATTTCACTTGACTAGGACGTTTCAGCCACTGAAGTTCCTATCCCAGCTTACCCGTCCATTTGAAACAGTTCGGTCACCATTTGACTTTCGTCTACTGTGGTCCTGGTTTTCTAGGAACAAACTCATCCCGGCTATCGGTTGGATAAATCCGTGATTAGTCACGATCGGAATGTATCAATCAATCAATCAATCAATCAATCAATCAATCAATCAATCAATGAGAAACGTCGTCTGGTTCGAACCAATCGCATCCATCCGGGTCGGGACCAATCGGATTAAACTCGCTATTCTATGCACGCTAATCACTTTTCTTGTTCACATTTTCCATTTGGCCTTTAGTTCACAATGGGAACGTCACAGCTCTCTCTATCTTAGGCCGTTTGTAATGCAGAATCGTATAGACACCGACATATTGTCGCTAGTGGAGGATATTTGGCGTCCGTCAAAATGATACGTGTACGTAACAGAAATATCGCATCGAATTTCACTGGTTACCTTCCCCCCCAATATGATCAACATCCTTTCAGTCTTGGGGGAAAAACACTGAGCACATATTCGTGAGGTGTACTTACATGCTTTTGGTGAAGCCATGGTAATTGAGGCGAGATAACCAGCAGCCCGCTGTGAAAAAGATAACTCAGGCTGAAATGTTGTTATCTAAAACAGCAGAGAATTAGGCGTGACAAAAAAAACGATGTAGCTTGTTAGGACTATGTGGAGTATATTTCTCTCCAACACTGATGTAACAGTGAATAAATCTTTTGACTGATATGTAGGCGTAATTTCATAGAAGGAATTCGTCCCGTATTTAGAAGATAAGGCGTGAACTGAAAAGCTAGGAAACACGTCTGGACAGCTGTTTCAATCTGACTGGGTATTATCAGCAGTGCCGTGAATCCATCGACCCAACTGGGATTCACGAACCCGGGACCTCACCACAAGCATGCTACCCACTCGCATAAGTTATTCCACTGAAATAGAATTCGCACCAGTTCGTCTGATGGGATGATTGATTGCTTGAAATTTGGAATTTCTTTCTCAGCTACACTATGCTGTACAGTGAAGATCCTGTCAATGTCTTGATTATTTATGGTCGCCGTATTGTACACCGTGCAGTTGATTCCGGCACGATAGATGAAATCTAGATTCAGCTACTCACAAATTGTCAGTAGTAAAACACTAACGTGTGAAATACAGGGGACTGCAACGATTTTCAGCTCAGTTCAGTTTTACAGCCATTAACCATGCACTTTCATGCGCCGGTTTTGGTTACCTATTTACTCAAAATTTAAAATGTACTATTGTTTAGAGGCATACTTAAAATGGTCTTTCAGCATATAAGGATTACTAATCTAATATAAACTACATTATGTATATAATTGGATGAACTGAAAATATTATTATACTGTTGTAAAAATATATATAATAAGCAATCAGTGAGAGTGGATCGAACTCCATCAAGTCCCAGTTCGGTTGCATTGGTGACTGACGTCGAAAGTGAGTTTCCGTCAAATGAAGCAAAAGTTCCAAACGTTCAATACCCCGTCCACAATGTGCGGAACCCACTTCATCTCGAATCAGATTTAGTACAATCTCCTCCGTGATTGGACGCAAATGAAGTCGATCAAATAGATAGTCCTTATTTGTCACTGAAGTTGTACTGGGACTGGAAGATACCCGATCCGCCTCGGGTTGCAACCGATTCAAATGCGAGGCCACCGCTTGTGTCATACCCCATTGGGCTGACAGAAATCGTTGTTCTATCCATTTGCGCAGACCAAATAGAATACCCCGTTGCTCGCACTCACGAATAATTTCCACATATGGCTGGAATGATTTGAATACGGGTGACTGCTGAATGATTCATCGGTTCAATTCAAAAAGAAATATCGATCTGTGAAAGAATTTTATGGATAACTCGACAACATTGCCACACAAACCGGATTTCACTAAAGATTGGTGGTATAGTATGGCAGACGGGCCCGGTAAAGTTTAAGTTGTAATTGTGAAAACAGTGATTTCGGTATGGGTGAAAATAAGCCGATATTTCGGTTACCGTGGGTAACCTTTATCAGGGCAATTTTACAATGGTTTGATTCGAATCGGACAAGTCTGTTAGTTCACTGATTAAGTATCTCCAATTCAAAACATCCGAAACCAGCAATTCGGTGCACCTGAAAAGTCTACTGAAGAGATTGCTACGGTGGCACTACGAAGCTCAGACCCAAGAGGAGGTCAATTTGACGAAGCTGTTTTCGAGGGAGGAGAGTTGTGGTGATCCTAGCTTACTAGATGACGCATACCACGGAGCGACACGTTACAGATTTTGGACAACTGTGATCAATCAAGCTTCCCGGGTGACGCGTACGTGTCACAGCTTCTGGACAACAGATCATAAATCGGTTGTACAAACCAATCAGAAACCAAGTGACCAAAACAGAAGCTGAACAACGCCAGAAATACTAGCACGTGATTGGCAGAGGCTTGGATGACCGATGAACTATTTTTGTACATATTATTGAATTCCCCTGATTTTTTTCAATAAACGAACTGCTACTCTTGTGGCCTTTTTCTTAAGTCTCGGTTACGTGAAATACTGCGTGCCATTACCAGTGTGATCCACTGCTTACGTTTCCTCCGTGATTTCTAATTCATGATTGGTATTTCGTGATCAGTGCATACTACAATTACTACAATGATTCAATCGGTCCTGGGGTTTTCAAAAGTCCTCGAACAGCCCGAACCAAGCGCTTGTGAAATCCGAGATACAGAGCAAAAGAAAAACATTCTGGGTGCATTTTTTTTTGTTTTCCTTGTCAAAACCGAAAAAGAAACGACGAAAATTATTCAGGCAGTGGTTTTACATTAGCCATCTGTCCCTGAAAACAGAAGAACCGAATCCTGGTAGGAATCCAAGTGTCAACTTCAACTACCACTTCCCCAGTTCTTTCCTTTCTCTTCGTGTTGCTTGAATTGTTTTTTCTTCAAAACCGTCATTGACTCGTATAGGCGACTGGTGTGGCGTGTCGCACACACACACACATGTGAACGCGTACATTGCGTAATCAACACG